ACTTTTGTTTTTCTCGATTTTTTTTTTTGAAAACTGTTGGAAAATGTTTACTTTTGACCTCTATAATGTACCAAGGATATTCAATTTTACATCGGAAACCACCCCCAAAGTTTGAAATTGAAGCATTATTTCGACTAGTTATGCTGTAAGAGACACAAAAACAAAAAAAAAACACACATCATTGTAAAATCAATACATTCATCACTTCGTTCAGAATCTAAAACAAAATCGATTTTGTCAAAAACTAGTGTTGCTCAAAAATTCCCGGCTTTCACGTGATTTTGATACGCGTTGAAAACGCCCACCTGTAAATGGGCGAGCCTCACATTAGCACGTTCCCGCCTGTTAACATCAATATTTACTGCATGTCGCGTGCGTTTTAATCCGTTTTGTGTATCAAAAATAGTGGTGATACAAATATCCGCTGAAAATACAGCGGAGTACAAAATGTTGTTACCTAGCCATTAAGTTACGTCAAAAAAACGCTTTTGATAACTCTTGGAAGTTTTCTATTTTGACCACTATTTACTCTATAGTACCAACACTAGATTAAAATTTTAGGGGTTGGTGTTGCTTTTTGTTTTATACTTAGTCTTCCCGAGTATTTCTAAGCTACTTCGGCGTCAACCGAGCGAGTCTGAGCGCGTAGTGAACGGAACTAGCGTAGCCCGTGCAGATTTTGCATTGAAACCACGCGGTGGAAAAATGGGTAGTGAAACAGTTGTAGTTGGACGCGACCCTAAAATACATTGAGAGCACTTGGAAAGAGAAGGGTTATTTGAAGTTACTAAAAGACTGGCTTGAGAGTTCGAAACAATCAGGTAATTGCTGGGGAGACAGATGAGCTATTGTAGGTATATAAGACCTTCTATGAGATAACTCTGCATTCGGCCGTGAGGGAAGATGTATGGAGGAAAGTTGGAGGCAGATTGCAGTTAGAGTTCGTGAATAACACGAGCCAGTTTACATTAAACGGAATATTGAAATACATTATTAATCACTTATATTAAATATTTCAGTATTCACTATTCAGTACCTTATGTAATGTTACAGTACAAAAAAAAATTGTATATATACCTATATATATATATATATATACTAGAAAAGCCCAAGAAGTAAGCAACAGTTACTATCAAAATGTCTGAACATATGATGGTCACGATACAAAAAGTGATTGCACCCAATAAAAGAAGAGTGAAATGGAACGCAAAGACTAAAGAGTGGTTAGGTTAGGATAGGATGGAACATGGAACTGGATGCTAAATATAGAAGAATTGGAGCATCGAGGGATGAGCCATTGAGAAGAGATGAAATAAAATAAATGCCAGCAGTTAGTCGACGCCTCGACGGGTAGTGTTTGAATATTTAAAGCTTAGCGAACAAGGGAATAATGCAAAAGAACCGGACCCGTTCCAGTATTAGTTGGTCTCTGGCATGGTAGGGATTCCAAACTTTTACCAGTTTTCTAACTTGGAGCGAACAAGACTGAAATAGCTAGAGAGTGAACGGAGGAAGTTTTCYGAGGAGAWCGTTTTTGTGACTAGTTTAATAAATCTTAAGATCTTAAGGGTTTTAGGGACAGTTATACTTTTTAATTTTATTCATTTTATATGACATAACTATATGCATATAGTATATTAATTGTTTTTTTGGAATATAAATCAGCCCTAATACAATAACAATATGTATATTATAATTTGTAATACATATATGTTATGTAACTTAAATGGCGGTGGATTATAGGTAGGTATCTACGTTGTACACGCAGACAATAATAATTATCGACTTAATGTATTAAAACTTAAAAAAAATATATATAATAATGCATATAATAAAATAGTAAAATACAATATCGTTAACCGATAATAATTATTATGTATAATATATCATATCTAACATGGCACACAATTTCAGAAAAAATGTTGTAAATAATAACAATATTTATCATTGAAATAACTATAGTATTGCGATATGATAGTATAATTGGTAATTCGCCGTCTAAATAAAAATAAAAGGTATCATAATATATATGATTATTTTTTCAACTCAAACTTAATTATCATCTGTAGGTACATGTTCTTCAGCACGTTTCTGAAAAGAAATAAAATTAAAAATATTAAYAAATAGCTATATACGGGCAACCGACTCAGACCTAGGGGTGGGCTACAGGTGAAGGTGTCATATTGGTGTGTAAATATTTAAATTTAAAACAATGATTGTAATTCACCTTTTTAAAACTTGGTTTTACTTTTTACACATCAGCTGTATAACTATCAACTAGCAAGACTATATACTGAACTTGAACTGTATTTTTAAAGTTTTAACAAATATAATAATTCATCATATTACATTATGCACTTCGTTTTCGGTTCTCGTTTCTTGAATTATTTTGTTGCGTAAAACTAAAAATCTACAGTATACTACCTATTATAGAGCGTAAAACTTTARAGTTTAATCGTCAGTAGATTTTCCTTTGCCGAGACGTGGGCTGCTACGAACTGAGTYCCGACAAAACTTTTTATGATGAATAATTGMATTCCTGGTCGTTTTAAGGTATATACCTACTAATAGTTGATTTCCGTAAAATTTTAGATTTAATACTAATTAGTAATTATTAAGAATTCATATTTTAAAACTAACCGAGTCCTGTCAAACTTTAATAAACAAAACATCTTCCTCTATGATTTTCCGATAAATGTTTATGAAACGAAATTGGTATTATTTATCGATAAAAATTAGATACGTACATATAGAATATTATAAAGTTTAAAAATCGTACCAGTCATGAGAATACCTATACTATTGATAAGTACAATGCAACTAACAGCTAAGTCAAATCACTTTAATTCAAATGCTCACCTGAAGCAACAAACCAAGGATACAAGATCAGTGGAAGGGTYAGTGGTGGATTCGATGAAAAAGTTTGAATATAGTTCGCAATCATTACAAAGATGTAAAAGATAATATGCTCACCCCCGTTCGCCCAAACGGCCACACACACACACAAGTTATGTCAATTATGTAGATGCTACCGAATACTACATGTCCACCGCCTAAGGATTAATGGTAACAGGCGGTTCTTAAAATATATCTGCAGTTTTGTAAATTAGATACTGGAGAAAAAGTTTTTAAATACTTTCCAAGTACTCAAATACGTATTTTAAATCCCTACTTTTGAAAAAAGTACTCAAAAYAGTATTTTAGGTACTTTCTCAAAGTATATCGTTATTTAAAATCAAATACTAATCTTCAAATAATTATTTGTTTCAGTTTAGGTATATATTTTTTATAACTAACAATTTTTCTAAATAAAAATTGAGAATATGTATAGGAATATATTTTTTTATTGTGAATTTTACTCGATCGAAAATTAAAATACTTCAACTAAGATAACAGTTATGAGTATACTTTTACAGGTCTTGCAGTAACAAAAATATTTCATAGAATATTTGAAAGAGTTGAATTATCTTAACGTATAAATCCTTTCATACTCAAATACATTTTTTTTTGCTGAGTAATCAAGTACGTAATTTTAAATACTTTTCAAAATAAGTGTCTGTATTTGAATACTTTTAAAAASTATCTTTTACTATCTATGTATCAGTGGTTCCCAACCTCTCCTATTCTACGCCCCCTTTATAGATTTTCGAAAATCTCGCGCCTCYCTCTCCTATAAATTGTAAAAAATCGATCACCTTTTTTGTGTACTTTACATATRAACTATCTATATTCTATATTCTATTCAATATTCGGAATACCGAATAAGACAAGAATTATTAAACAGATAACGTGACATAAAAAGATCAAGTTACACGCTGCGGCCAAACATTTAGGTATAGTCTTTATCGGTTATCCGTTATTGATACTCGATTAACAGATAAAGATTTACGGTAAAATATTTGTTTCTCTAAGTTTTAAAATAAAAATTGTACTTCGTATAATAACTGCTTGCGCCTCCCCAGAAATGTGTACACGCCCCCCAGTTTGGGTACTAGTGATCTATATACCATTTATTACCTATGTCCTATACTATAATAGTATAATATAGTAATATCTCTAATATGTGACATGGGTGTGTATTTGCACAAACAATTTATGAGTGTATAATATAYATACCTTGGAAACTTTTTCGCCGTAAATGGACCAAAACGCTGATTTAGCTATCGTTTTGTGACCTGTTTGCTGGTTGAACGTGGAGCACTCTTCGAATGGCGGACAGTACAAGTGCAGACTTACAGCCTTGTCTGTGTGACTGGCGTTTTCTACGCGGTGTAGTCCCATCGCATCTGAAGGAATAATACAAAAATAAATAAATAAAAAAAGATCGACGRTTAAAATGTATTTAATGTGTTTAAATTTACACAGTACGACTAGTACGAGTAAGTTTGGGGTCCATAAATATAAGCGCAACGCACAAATTGTGTTTGAGATTTGAGGGGGGGAGGAGGCTGAACTGCTGAAGTTCTGGTTTATATTATTGGATTAACCCTTTATTAACACTTAGGTATAATGAAGTATGTGTGACATTAGTTTTTTTTGGGAGGTGGCGAAGTTTGGAGGGGCTTATAGCTCACAGCTCTTCTCATTTGCTCCTAATGTTGGAGACACATTTATGGGAAATATTTACGCAATTTTAAATATTTAGGAAAAGAGGTTTTCAATATATTGTTAATAAAGTATTTATTGTTATATCCCTTTATTATTAAATATTAATATTTTGGATGAATTAAGTGTACTTAACATTAATAGTTAGATTTTAGTGTCACGGTAAATAATTGTTCATT